GGTCAGACCACAACCAATTTCTCTGTAGGTGTCGATAGTAATTCTTTTAATAGTATCCAACTTAATGAACCTTCCGTTAATATTCGTTGTGATAATGGATCAAGTGTGGGTTATAACTCAAAATTTAGAGAATATTTTAATAAAATAACCATGTCTCCTGGAATATCTGCTACTTCATATATTGAGATTGTAAAGTTGCAAGAATTACTTATTAGCCGAAAGGATTGTATTATTATTGATTTACTAAAATGTCATCGTCTATATTTAAAAAATGCAGTTTTGAAAATTTTTTCGATTATGTTAAGTATGTTTTTCCTCTATTCCATGTACACCTAACATTATGAATAATATCAATTCAATCGAACCATTGAAATTTTAAAAGTTGATTTAAAAATGTTTCAAATAATAAATTCACATCAGATGAGTGGGTAGTGAATTATATTGGCTGCTATACTACTGTCACATCTATATGCAACTAACAGCCTTGTCAAAAATGGATATGTTCTTATCAAATTCGCCAAGTGGCTTACGTAGAAAAAATGGTATCTCTATACTCTATAAGATTTTCCTTTGTTTATAATTCTTACACCAAAAAAGAGTTAATACCATACTCATAATCTTGAAATAACTTTTTAACAATTTTGAAAATTTTAATTTAAATTTGCAAATTGGCAAATTCCTAAAAGGTAATTGTGTTTGCGTTGATTAATAATTTTGAGATTGATCGTTGCAAAGCACAATAACTTATATTTATTGAATTAGCATACTTGATTTTTTTATTGATATTTGTTATGTATCTTGTACTGTTTATAAATATATTTACATAAAATAAAGCCAGTTTAATTGAGTAATATACTTATTCATAACAAAATAAAAATTTTCTTCATTATTTAAAGTTATATTTTATATAAATTAATAAAAGCCATTCAAAACATTTAATCAGCCATAATTCGGATAAATAGTAGGTTTATCTACATTTATACGTGCGATTGCTTGATAATGTATTAACTTTAGCTATAATATTTGTTGTCACATTATTTATTTATTCACTTTCTTTTCACTAAAAATTCTCACTTTATTATTTCTTTATTTTATAACATTTTAGTCATGAAATTGTCAAAGAAGTGAATCATTTTTAAAATGAGCTAAAAAAAGGTATTGCTAAATATTAGGGATGTTAAAATCCAGTCCGGTCCTAGTCCGGTCCCGAAATTCCCAGTCCTAAAGAAGACCCGGTCCACAGGACTTGGGGCCTAGGAATTTATTCTAGGACAAGGTCCTGAGACTGCAGTCCTATAGAAATTAGGACTTGCTATCCTAGGACTGCGGTCCTATTGAACTTAAAATCTGCGATGAAGCATAATTCATCCAGACGATTCCTCATCGTTCTAGTTCAAAGATATATAATCGTTTAAGAAAAACGAATTTTTATCGTTTTAATCAAATGATTCCTTTTCGTTCAAGTCGAACGATTCTTCATCGTACTTCTTGAACGATTTTGTTTATCATTCAAATCGAATGAATTTTCACCGTTCTAGTAGAACGATGCATCGACGTTCATAAAGAACAGTCTTCTATCGTTCAATCAGAAACTTTATGGTCTATAATACTTTTAGTAGACCGAATTTTATATACATATTACGACCGTAGTCCTTAGGCCGCAAGTCCTAATTTCTATAGGACCGCAGTCCTAGGACCGCAAGTCCTAATTAATATAGGTCAGCAGTCCTAGGACTTTGAACTAGACCGGACTTCGTAGGATTGTTTAGGACCTGGTCCCACGGGACTTTTTAACATCCCTACTAATTATATAAAATAATTGCATTAATCATTAAAATGGTGTAATTTCATTCAGATTGATCATAAATAGCGAATTCGCAAATGCTGTAATTTATATAGTTGGAAGGAGGTTACTTTCTTTTCACGTTGAAAAATATATTTAATTCAGCATCACATGATAGTTCATAATATTACATAATGATATATTTGATCTATAAATATCATGTAATAATTTTGCAAGAATGGCATTTTTCCCGGAAGCTTGCTTTTCCAGTCACTATAATAAATCTTATGTCTAATTTTTAACAAAAATTAAGCAAAATATTTTATTCATATGCATTTAACGTTCTGCTTGTATAGGAATTCCCTTCATCATTTTTTTGTGATAGGCTTGCTCCTAAATTCCTAGTAGAAGAATCATGCATAATATGAAAGATATTTCAAAATTTGGATAAATCAGTATAGGAGCAGAAGCAAGACATTCCTTTAATTTATTAATTTATCAAATGCCACCTATTGGTCATTTGTCCATCTATAATCAACTTTCTTTTTCTAGTAATTAAAGGGTTCGGTAATATTAAAAAGTTTTTAATGCATTTTTAGGAATAGAAAGCCAAGCTGAGAAAACTCCTTAATTTAGAAATATTCCTTGGCATTGGGATGATCGCATTGATTTTATCTAGATTGACCTGAATTCTATCATGGCTTACGATAGTGTTCAAGGAAAGAAAGTATTTTTCTTCAAGCCCGCATCTCTTAGTCAAAAGACTTAAGGAATTCATTACGGAAGGTTCATTAAGTTGGATACTATTAAAAGAATTACTATCGACACCTACAGAGAAATTGGTTGTGGTCTGACC